GCTAAACACATAGCTTTGGGCAGAATCAGAACCATCTGCAACAAGCCCTAAACTGAGTCAGGATCCTGGGCTCTCCCATGTGACTATGGATGGGTCACTTTCTCTGAGCGTTCGTCTTTTCATCTGTTAAATTAAAAATGGGGCCAGAGGAATTCACAAAGGTACTTTCCAATTCCCAAAGTTCTATTGTTCCTTGATTCTAGATGTTAGTAAAGGGTATGTTCAGCTTGGTTTAGCAGACTCAGATTCCAGATTCCTTTTTCATTATAGTATTAAACGTGTTGTGGCAGTCAGACAGACTGTGCTCCTAACAGTGGCATCTTAGCATCTATTGGGAAGAAAACAATGCCTAGTGTACAGATGACCTAAAAGTGAGAGATGTAGGTAACCCATCTGCTGTGGGTGAAAGCTACAGTCTGAAAACTAACGTTTCTGCCTCTTCCACGTTAAATTCACTAAATGCCAAAATTAGAATTTCCATTAGGAAATATTGTTTACTGCATAATCACGACAGATTCTGAAAACTTTCCATTTACTGACAAAACCATTATAGGGTCCTGTTAATGGTATACTCATCCATTTTGCTGTTGTTCTTAGCTCTCATTATGCACCTGGGATACTTCTAGAACATTCCAAAGACTAAACGCCACTCAGACCCACTGGCTTTGAAGAACTGGAGCTAGAGCATCTGTATTTTTTTAAAGCTCCCAGGTGATTTGGGTGCCATGTTCTATACTATACAGTATTCTTAAAGTTACTTTGGAAAATAAGCAGTAGTTGAGCAAGCCTCCAAAGTGAAGATGATTTAGATTCACGATCCATGTCTGTCCTCTGAAGTACTGTACCTGGCTGATCTGGTTTAAATTTGAAATAAAATTGTAATTTACCTTTTAAGTGATGTTTAGCAAGAATTTAGTTTATTAGGACTAAGATAATAGGTGTATCTATAGTACTCTGGGTGGAACTGGGGAGGGGACTGTCTGGTTTGTTTTGTTTAATGTTAGACAATGAAAAGAACACAGGCCCTGGGTTTTAAATCAAAAATTTACTCTTTTACTGATTATGGTAAGGTTCAAATTAGATACAGACATGAAAATATTTCATAAACCATAAAACCATGTATCTGAGCAGTTTTTAATCTTTGCCCTTCCCTACTCTGAGAAATAGACAAATCTCATGCATTTCTAAAGTGTAAGTTCAAATTAGATATTGTGATTAGAAGCAAAAAAGCAAAAGCCTGCTTTGTTTTCTCCCTCCTTTCCTGCTTCGAGAATGACCTCTCAGTGCATTTTACTTGTGGTGGTTAAACTTGAAGTTTAGTGAAGGCAGGAACTGTCTATCTTTGTGTCCTGTTGTGCCACCAAGCACACAGTGATTTACAGAGTAAGAACTCAGTAAAGATTTGCTAAAATCATATTAAGCAAATTTATAGGAATTCAGACAATAGAACCAATATCCTCTTTCTTAGGCCTTTGAGAAATGAAGTATTTGTATAAGAAGTGACTCTGTTTGCCTGTTATTAGTGTGTAGGAATGCCTGTGATTTTTGCACATTGCTGAAGTTGCTTATAGCTTAAGGAGATTTGGGGCTGTGGAATACTATGCAGCCATAAAAAAGGATGAGTTCATGTCCTTTGGAGGGACATGGATAAAGCTGGAAGCCATCATTCTCAGCAGACTGACACAAGAACAGAAAACCAAACACCACGCTTTCACTCATAAGCAGGTGTTGAACAATGAGAACACATGGACACAAGGAGAGGAACATCACACTCTGGGGCCTGTCAAGGGGCGGGGGACTAGGGGAGGGATAGCATTAGGAGAAATACCTAATGTAGATGATGGGGTGATAGATTTAGCAAACCACCATGTCACGTGTATAATAAGAAACCTACATGTTCTGCACATGTACCCCAGAACTTAAAGTATAATGAAAAAAGAGAAGTAAACGAATATGGGATTTAAATGTTTTCTCTAGCTTGACCATATGAAGTAAGAAAAAAAAGTCATTTTAAAAAAGTGTACACTTAGAAATTAATTAACCCACCAGTGCCCAGTGCAGTTGGTAAAAATCTGTATCTGCTTATCCAGGTAGATTGACATTCTGGCACCGGTCATAATTTGAAGCTTTATGAATAAATGAATGTCAAAATTGGGTCTTCAATTAAAAAAACTGAGAACTATGAATTCCTAATTTTAGAACTAATTGGGCCTTAAAAACATGAAGTATTGTCTTTGCTGTGAACTTTAAGAGATTCTAAAATGTCCGAGCTTTTCAGCAAATTCACAAAGGAGCAAGTGATGTTGAGAACAGAGCTTTATTAAATCAGAAATGAAGCTTAAGTACTATATAGGTATGTAGGATCCAGTTTGTTGGGAGGTCTAATTGTGTTGTTGATTAATCTGTAATTTTCAACAGTGGGTGGAGTTCCAGGCTGTTTCTGGTCAAAGCCTGGATTTTACTAACTAGGAGTGTCTGTGAAGGTACAGAACTGGGAATCATTCATAGGGTCTGACAGAAGAAAGAGAGTGGGATACAAAGTATTCCATGAGAATGTGGCCTCTGGAAGGCCCTCACACCAAGCTATGTTTAAATTTAGTTTCAACATTTGCAACATAAATAGAGAGAAATTTACAGTTGACACAAATATGAGTTGTCTTCATCCATCTTCCTGTAAAGTTGCTTACTCTGGAAAGCATGCCAAAGTGGGAATGTTCCCATAATTGCCTTACATAGGCAACATACATCCTTTGTACATCAAAAGGAAAAAGTAGTGACTCAAGATAGAGGGCCCTAGGGAATATGTTTACGGATTGCTCTTCACTAATTACACATGCTTGTTTGTTCTTTATTTTAGAATTAAAATAGTAAGACCTCATCACAGAAATCTGGGTCAACTCAAAACTTTGGTTTTCTCATTAGATGTGGGTCCTTGAGGGTCTGTGATATTAAATAAGGCTATAATCTTTTGTTTGCCAAATGGTGATAAATCATCTGTAAAGGTGAATTGATCTTTGAAAAGTGATCTTTTTCATATTAATAACAACTATTTCATATTGTCCAGTCTGAAAAGGTTAAAACCTGGTTATTTATCAGGTGAGGAACTCAAATAAGACTCAGTCTTTTTCCAAGCCAAAACCTCCTTTCTCAAGCAAGGCTCACTTCAACACTGTACGTTTAGAAGGAATGCACCTTTACTCCTGGTCCATTTAAATCCATCTAAAACCATTCCCTGTGCTTTAAGTAATACATTATGTTAAAGATTGTCACTTGGTTGTAACATTTAAAATATCAGGGTCAAGAAGCTAAGAGTATTACTTTGGCATAGGCCTCTGTAAGGCAGCCGTGCTGGTAGGAGCTGTTTCACAGACCAAGGCTCCCCTGCCTGTGGTTGTGGGAAGACACCCTGTGCATTCCTGAAAGTTATTTGTGGCTCTCTGAGGAACTCATTTAACACTGTTCTGTAGCACACAATTTTAGGAAGTAGAGTTGGAATTTTCTAGTCCTCGTCAGAACGTGTGCTTCAATCCAGACGTGTTCTACAACACAAAAAGTCCCATGGTAAAGTACAAGCTTGCGGAAAGAACAGAGGAATGATGCTTGGAAGGTGCCACTGTTTTGTCATCCCTGATACACTGATCTGGAGTGAACTGCGTAGCAGCATAACTAACCAAAGAAATTTCAGCAAGGGCGCCAAAGCCTGACAAGCATAGTAAATCTTCTTAAGCAGGATATTCGGAGAGAGAGTTTTCAAGTTAATTGAATTTTATGATTAACAGAAGGTTATCTGGAAAACTATATTCATTTCACCTCATGTGGATGGAAGTCTTTCTAAAAGGGTTAAGTCTGCTTTCCATTTTTAGTATAATTATAAATGTTTAATTCTTAAGATGAAGATTTCACTGCCTCCATAGCATTATCTTGATCATAAAAGGTTATTCTATATTTCCTAAAATACAGCTATGGCTGTTCAAGGTTAATTCATTGGGCTAGAAGTATACAGACTGCAGAACTGCTTCAGAGTTATTAGCCTAAGGGGGGATAAATCCCTAATATGAAATTTTATGATTTTCTTTTTCTGAAAACAGATTGTGGAAAAATTCCATCTGACTGAAGGGTATGAATTCTCTGGATGTGACTGTTACGAGTTTAAATGATGAAAAATGTGCCAGCAAAAGGGAACTTTTATTCCTAAGTCCTGAATTTTAGTTCTGCTCCACTTTGGGTCTTAAAATGAGATTCAGGATGTTACAGAGACCCTGTGTGGTCCAGGTCTCCCAATTCTGAAATGCAAAATATATCTCGGAATGAAAAACATGCAGTTTTTCTTTCTTTATTGGAATGTACGGTATTATTGCACTTAGAATCCGTTTTCCCATTTTCTTTTATGGGAGTATTTTATCCCACCATGCATATCCATGTGTATACATCTGTATGTACAGGTATGTCTATAAAATTAGATCTGCATTTTTGCTACTGTCTACAATATACACAACTATACAGAACTCATTTGAGATGATAATATTTTAGGGAGGAGGAGAGGCCTCTACTAGTGTCTGTTCCAATAGCTTTTCACTCAGACTATAAATTAGGCCCGGGGAGGGCCAATAATGAGTCAGTAATTTATAGACTATTAAGATACTTGTTAGAAGCAATTCCTGAGCATGTTGAATAGAGAACACATGTTTATAAAAGACAAACAGATTCAATATATCTCTTTGGCCTAACCAAGCCCAACCAGTTCACAAAATGGGATGTCTTATTTTGTGTATCTTCTACTTCTCAAAAATAGAATCACAAACCACTTGTTAACCACACTGACTTTTTAAAAGACAGAATGGTTGCTATAGTTTTGCCACCAGAAATGTTCAGATTAAGCATTCTATTAGATCATAGCCAGCAGAGTCTACAAAACAGGAAGGTGGCTCTGCTTGCTTTTTGCCTCCTTTCCTTGTTTGAATTGATGTGATGATTCATCGCGATTTCTTTTTCTTTGATAGAATGCCTACCGCAGGAATGGGACGGCCTTTCTAGCCTGCTGATAGACAACTGTGGTGTGCCTGCAGCAACAAGAAAAGCAACGTTACATGAAGGTGATTTCTTGAAAACAAATAAAATACAAATGTACCTTTCTCCCAACCAAGGGAGTGGGCTGGTTTGTTGTGACTATCAACTTGCTGACTCCTGCTCTTTTCCAGCCCCCTCAACCATCAGTCTTGTTTACTAGATGTGCTGTTCAGCTAATTAATGGCAGGATGTTTGGGATAGGGTGTAGGTGGACGAGAATGCAGATCACACAATTCTGAAATTTTAATTTCAGTGGATTTACTGCCCTCAGCTCACATATCTTAAAAGTAGTGGTTGTTCCCCGCCCTCCAGTGTTTTGTCTGTGTTTTATTTGCTACATTTTATGATTTAAGTTTAGATCAAGGAAACAAAAGGACAGTGAGTTTTCACCTTCCCTTATACCACCAACTTCACTTTCCAACATTTGTTGACTACGTGTATTTTAGTGACAGCTATCCATTTTATAAACTTACAGTAATCAAATATCTAACAGACCTGATAAATCACCTGTTCCCATCCCCTCTCCCCTTCACTCCGCTTACAGTATGAGTCATTTTCAATGCCTTCTTCCCAACTTCCTGCCATCTGCCTTTTATGTGTGTTTTTCCTCACACAGAACGTCTTACTCCATCTTTGTTTCCCTCCTTTTCCTGTTCCTCCAATCCCCAGATCTACTACTCCTGCACATTTCATACACATTTAGAAGCCAAGTATTCAGAATTAGTAGAAGGGGAACAGAGTAATTTCTTGCTTCCCCCCTTCAAAGCCTCCCACACTTAGACTGCAAATGTGGGCTTGGTAATTTCTTGCTGTTAGTAGCTGAGCTACCCTTCTGGCTTCTATACTTTCTCCAGTAAATGAGGAACCATAATTCTTTGGAACAAACCAAAATATAGCAGATGTAGTCGTACAATTCCTGATTAATTTTACTTTTATCATGGTTTTTACATGTACTTGAAACAGTCTTTGTAAAGAATTAATAAAAACAGAAATGAAAAATGTGAACGATTATGCCACATTATTACATTTGTTAATTGTCATTTACCTGTTCTGTGTTAATCATCTTTTTAGAAAATATTTGCATGTCAGAAACAAAAAGCACAGATAAATAATATCAAAATATTTCCAAAGGGTTTTGATGTTCCATCTATCCTTGTTAAAATATATAATTAAACTTGTCTTTTTATCATCGTTCTTACTTTCCTTGGCATCCATAAGCATGGAAAATTATAAGCTTGCAGTCAACATCCTAACTTTAAAATGATAGCATTTATTGTATTTAGTTTTGATCTGCCAGACTTATACCTGGTATAAAATTTTCAGGGGCTAATTTTTCACATCAAAATGTCTTCTCTCCCACATTATACATTTTAAAGTATGCACGAGGCAGAAAATACAGGGTTTGGGTTTTTTCCTTCATTTTATTCTACCTGATCTCCTTATAGTCCCAGAGAAGGAAGACTCAACGTACATTTCTCCCAGAAATATGACAGGTCTGTGTTTTTGTAGGTCTGGCATATGTTTGTCTATCTTCACCAGTCTGACAGGTAATTATTTATAAAATCTGGTTTTGTCCAGTAAGTTCATATAATCTTTCATTTTTCATCATAAGCCAGTAAGCTGAATTTAGAATAAAGCAAGGTCATTTATGTCTGTCCTGAACCAGCCTACATGTCCCCATAATTGCTCAATATTTTTAATTCTTTTTTCTATTTTTTACACTTAGGTTCTTTCTCTGACTCTTTGCCCAGTACTAAATTTGAAGTGAAATAAAATTTCCTTCACCAGTGACTATAGAAATAAAAGAAAATTTACAGAAGGAACATTTAGAAAAATGTGCTTCAGTAAATGATTTTCTCAATAATCATAATGTTAAAGCAGAAGATAGTCTTAGAGATCATAGAGAACAGCTGCTTATCTTACAGATGAAAAAACCTTGGCCTAGAGATGGAAAGTGACTTTCCTAAGATCACTCAATAATGGTAGTGACAGACCAGAGATGAGAATCGATGGTCCCTAACTTTCAGTCTGGTATTATACAGTATTTTCTACTATGCTAGGTTAGCGTAAGACGACGACTAAGACACGTTGGGGTTTGATGGTATATTTATCCAAGACAACAAAGTAAATTTATTTAAAAACTACATTAATTATGAATACATCCTAAAGCTTAAGTGTTGTATAGTAAAATTTCAATGTGACTGTGATATTAAGTAAACAATCTGTTATCTTACACATCAGGCTCAGCTATAATTCAAATGGGAATGTACAAAGCTAGTTTCATCTTTTTCTCCCTTGTATTTTAGAGACTGAATTTGAAAATAAATAAGCCAATAAATAGCTTCTAAGGGTAAGGAAAGTAGAAATCCTTCTCCCTTCACCTAAATTTGATAGTATGACTTTCTGAACATGCCATTTAGAGGTTATGTCATTAGCTTTCCTGCATTCTTATATTGTAATAGTTGTGATTCAGAAATACTGTTTCCATTTTAAAACCAAGACTTTTTATCTGAAAACCATCAGAAGCACAAATATATTTTAAATAGTGTATATAATTCCTGAATCTGAGGAGAAACCTTCATTTATTACTGTTCTTTGTTTTTATAAAATGATAAACAAGCCATGTCTAATGCTTTTACCATGTAGAAGACAAATAGACATAACTGGTGATTCTTGGTCTAAAAAACACATTTACTTGTTTGAATTACAAAGTTTAATTTTATGAATTTTTTTACATAGTTCTCAAATCAAGCATTGCTTTCCAGTTCATATAACCTCTTGTATAAAGCTGAATCACTAAAGAGAACATAGTCTCTCATCTGTCCCCCTGGAATTTGGATAGAACCTTCCCAAGCTACATTTAAAATTCTACCATCAACCATGTACACATCTCATAAAATATTTTACAGTTTCCTGTATGCTCTGGCTGAACATTTCATAGTACACAAACGCTTCTGCAAGTAATCTAAGGGCATCAAGTGGAATATGTCATAGCTGCGGCCACTATATCAAGCTACTTCACCAGCAGCATATTTTCTTATTTTTATCTTCTTATTTGAAATTCAAGCTGAAACTTTATGTGCCATTGTTGTGCAGCGGCAGGGGTGACAAGAGAGCAGGGAACTCTAGCAGTTTTTGTGGAATTGTGTTCATTAAAGCAAAGGCTTTCTGCAGAGGGCATCTAGCCAAGCTTAAACAACAAAACTATGCCTGCAGGAATTGGATGTAAATGTGATGGTTAAATAAGGGCCAGATGTTGTTAAAAACTCTAATATTAGAAAGTCATATCTCTTAAAGTCAGTCTCAAGTGTTGTAAGTCGGATACTGATACCATAGTACCTAGAGAAAGAGACTCGCGTTTGTTTTTCCAGAGCAAAATATTAAGTATTCAAGCTGTCATTAAGTCATGGAATTTTTGGCAATTGAAGCATATTTTAAAGCAATCAATTCCTACAGAGTCACAAGAATGCCGAATACATATGTCCTTGTTGGGAGCCACTGTAATTCTCTACACAACATGGGGTCCATGATCTCTTTTCTGCTCATCACCACCCAATATTCATTATTCTCATTTTTTTCAAAGGAGAGTAAAGATAGAAGGAAAAAAAAAAGCAAGGCTCAAGATGATCAAAATATAGTTTTACTTACACCAGGTAATGCTCTACTTGCTATCAAAGATAATATATTGAGTCAGCATATTAATGTTATGACATAATTATAGCACACCATGTGCTACCCTGTGTACTAAGCAGTTTGTGTGATTTATCTCATTTAATACTCACAGCCCCACTATGAGATGTGCCTTGTTGTCCACAGGCAAAAAGAGGAAACTGAGGAACAGCAGATTGTCATATGCAGAATTACCCAAGGTAGAGCTGGCATTTGTATGAGCACTCTGATCCCAAAGTTCATGCTGTTAACCACTGTTACACCACATGGACTGTACTGGAATAGAGATTTCTGATCACTTGTTAGTGAGAATTGCTGCCTGACCTGGAACCTAGAAGTACTTCTCAGAACCAGAAATTTTGATTGTAAGAAAATTTTATTTTAACTTAATATTCCTTCTCTAATGCCAAGTATTATGTATGTAATAGAATATATAATATATAATAGAATATAATTACATATAATTATGCCAAGTTTTTAATGTCTTAAACCTTAAGATAAATGTATATATATAATCAATGAATATACTAAAAGTCCCTATACAAATTATGAGAAAAACTTCATCAAAGATCCATGTAGACAAAGCTGTTCTCCTTTCTGAAGACCAGATTTCCTTCCCCAGAAGGCTCTATTTACACAGGCTACTATTTCATGCTTTCACACAAGGTATTTATCCCTATTATAAAATAATTCCCATCTTTTTTACATGTGTTAGCAGCAGCAGATACAGAAGTACATATGGCAATGCCCTGAAACTTTATATTAATGACCCTTTTAAGGGTTTGCTCATTAATTGATTAATCATATAGTAGTCATAGTTCTTCCCAGCCTGACAGTTGGTGTGTGAGGGGGGTCTGGGGAGAAGTGGTGTATGGAGATAAATAAGAAAGTGGAAAGAAAGGTACTGAGCACAATTTGAATTACAAAGGATAGTTTTCCATTCAACTCAGTAGTTAGCAGGAGCTTTTCTTATAGACAGAGTCAGGGTCTCTCTTTGTTGCCCAGGCTGATCTCAAACTCCTGGACTCAAGTGATCTTCCCACCTTGGCCTCCCAAAATGCTGGGATTACAGGCATGAGCCACCGCACCCAGGCAGCAGCTTCTGTAATTCAATGCTAGGTTTGTTCTGCCTCAGAACAAGCCACCTTCTGATTGATGTCCTTTAAGATTCCAAATAACTGCCCCAGCCTGTGGTACAACTTTCTCTTCTGAATTTTTTTTAAGATGGGGTCTCCCTATATTACTCTGGCTGGTCTCCAACTCCTTGGGTTCAAGCAATCCTCCCACCCAGCCTCCTGATTAGCTGGGATTACAGGCACAAGCCACTGCACCCAGCTACTTCTGAATGGTTTTGATTGTGTCTTCCCACTACTTCACTTGGGAGAAGTTAGTTCACTGCCAATGCATTGGCCACTTCTTGGCACCCCTCCCTGACCTAAACGTACGAATCAGTCAAGCAAACAGACCTGAAGTAGCAACTCCTGCAGCTGATGGGTTGGCTTGCCACACTTCCACAGGTTTGGCCTGTAGGGAGACAGTGAGCCCAAATAGCTTCAGACAGTTTGTTACACAGCTACCTAAGCAAAATTGGCAGTGTCAGCTTCTCATGTTCCTAATCTCACAGGAAGATGCCAAGCCAGAGGGGCCAGTTGACAGGAGACCTGAGTGAGTAGGGTATTACCATGTCATGGAGGAGCCAACTCTAAACCACAGCCAAGCAGTTTTATAGCTTGCATTCACATCCCAAAGGGGGTTGAGGTGGAAAGACCCTTGCCCTACCAGAACTAGGAAGGCAGATGGGAAACTAGCTGTGGCAGCTCCTCATCAGAGTGGCTGTTTTGTTGCATTCCTGTGATGATCACAGATGAAGGTCCGTATGGCCTGCATGTCCTGTGTGGAGTTGAGGTCTCCTGGGAGGCCTTCCACTGCAATGCGAAGAATGTTGTGTGTTTTTGTTAGCAGTATACAAAATCAATCTTCCTCTTCTTCCCTAGGTTTTCATGGTGGTCTCCTTCCCTAGCTCTTTGCCATAAAGTTTCCTGCCTGTCTCAGCACACAGCACCCTTTGCTTCCTCTGAACTCGTTAAGCTCTTGTTGTTCTCTCTGCTTCCTATTTAGTGTCCCTGATCTTCTCTCCATGTGCCTTTAGACTGTACCAGACTGAGAATTTCTCAAGGGCAAATCTTGAATTAACACCTCTTTGTCGTTCTCACATACACAGATACTCATAAACATTTGTGGTTTGGTTGATAGAAAAAAAAATGCATATTTTTTTTAAACGGAGTCTGACTCTATTGCCCAGGCTGAAGTGCAGTGGCACGATCTCGGCTCACTGC